ATTTGACTTAGTTGCTACATCTTTGGGTAATGTCTCACCCTAAATCACTGCCCAGTTGGGTACTTTTAAGGCAGCCATTAACTTTGTTGGCAGTCATTTGTTCCTTGTTTGCTCTTGTTTTCCCCTCCTGTTCTCTCTTCTCTCCCTCCATTTAAATGACAGTGAGCTATACTAAAAAACCTATGGAATTTAGAATTAACAAAAACCCCAGATTGTATTCCGAGCGTTGAATTCCAAGGTGCCAGCTTGCTGTGCAACCTTAGCAGTACTTCTATCTAAGCTTGGTTCTCCCATCTACAAATTTGGGATGATAACAATCAGTGTGTAAATGTCCTACGATGATAAAAAGATGTGTGAGGATCAGTGTGCAAGAGCCAGACATAAACTGACACATGAGCATGGCATGTTTGAAGGACAGTGAGTTGAATGTTCTAAAATCAATTGACTTTTTATTGGCCTTGCTCTTTCTGCCTGAACTGGATTTTTTTTAAACACAGATATATATCTTGTAACTGCTGCTATATTATATTACAGCATCTTTGACATGAAATGCTTTATCTTTTGTATTCCTTTCAGTGGTGCCTTGACCATAACAATCAGGTATTTCTTGACTTGGGTGAAACAGAGAGTTCCTGCTCGAATCATGGCACATAAACTTCCCAAAAGAGGGCTTCAAATATTGGGAACCCTTATAGATTTTTGACCAGGAAATCCATATCATGAAAGAAAGTTGTAGGAAAGCCTGATACCCAGTCTAACAGAATGCCTGGAAGCAGGGGGCTACTGGTCAAAACATTTGACAGATATGAGACTCTATGTCCTGTTGTCTGTGAGGTGTTGAACAAACTGGAAAGCTTTACAGTCTCCTTGTAAGTACATTAAGAATAATGATAATATCTTCCCCATGACATTGATAGGAGGATGTATTCGAGAATTCATGACACTGGATTATCACAGTGTCTGGCATGTAGGACCTACTCAGCACACATTAATTATGCTGATTTTAATGTTTCCTTTAAACATCTACCAAAGTCATTCTCAACCAGAGTGATCCTAATTAAACTGCTAATCAGGTCATGTCATTCTGCTGCTCAGAGCCCTCCGATAACCTCTTCCATTCAGTGTGAAAGTCATGATCATTGCAGAGACCTACACAAATGCATTATTTCCTTTCTTATCTCTATTTCCTTTCCCCCCTAACATGCAAAGCCTCTTTCCAAAACATTTAATTTACTTATTTGGTATGTTTACTGTCTATTATCTGTCTCTCCCTACTAGACTGTAAGCTCTGTGAGACAAGTCTATTCTGTTCACTGTTGTATCATTGCCTTAGAATAGTGCCTGGCCATTGTAGATGCCATTTGTTGAATGAATGAATGAATGAATGAGTGAGTGAATGAGTGAATTTCCAACAGCCAAGATGGTCTCTTCTAAGTTCCTATATCACTTTGATGGCTATTTTCGTATGCTACTTACTATAGTCTAAATTATGCTGTACTACTTTGGGATTTGCCTTCCTTCCTTAACCAGAGTATAAGTTTCCTGACTGAAAATGGTGTCTTTTATCATTTTGCGTTACCTGTAAAGTCTAGCACACAGTCATTAGTGCTTTCCTTGGGAAGAATACTTCTGAAATTCTGGACAATGTTCTCTGTCTTCAGTCCACTCCTCTCTCATCGTTTCTTTACTAATATTAAACTTTACTGCCAAAAATTACTTTGTTAAAGATTTGGCCTTTAATTTTCAAAAGCAAATTTTACCACTTAGTAAAATCCATTAATAAGTGGCCATCTTTAATTTCTGAACATAATCCTTATGTTTTCTTGTCAGGTAAAATAAAACCCATGCTCTGACCACTTTCTGTAATGTGATGGTCAGTATCAGGGTGACATGGATTTGGTGGCAGAAGCCACAATGGACTCTGTCTCTACCTGCTTTCCCTTCCCTGGGCATGGCCACATTGTACAGTAATAGAAATCTGCTGCCTCACCCTCTCCTTCCTCTGGGACTCCTTGATGCTGCCTCCTATCATAAAACAGTGTGGCTTAGGGGCAAAATCAAAAGAAGTAGAACAGCCATTTAAGAAAAGAAGCAGACAAAAATACAATTCTCTCTCTCTTTTTTATTACACAGGGAATTACAAAAATGTGCTTAACTGGACATTTCTTTTCTTTGAATGCTAAACTTCATCAGCTTTTAGCTCAACTCATGATCCCAGTAACTGATGTCTATTAAAATTTGGGCTTGTGTAAATCTAAAGAAGAAATTCCTGAAATTGAGATCCCCACACAGATAGCATGAATAAGCCCTCAGTCAGCATCTGTGGCCTTGAAGAAAGGATAGAAGCCCCGCCCCCAGATTTTGACTTAGGGGCAACAGGAAGCCCTAGGGGTCTCCTGGAAGGTGCATGCGCCTGACAGTTATTAAGCTGCTGCACATCTTCATTTCTCAACCCTGAAGCCCTGTCACGTTTACTTGATGTTTCTTTTTAAACCTCTTGGGTTTTCCTCAGGACCCCAAGTGGCATAGGGAGGTCTGAACATTTCTCTTGGTCCCTCAGGGGTATACCGCCCTCTGTGACATGCTCAGGGACTCACACTTGCAGCAACATCCATTTCCCAGGCTGCTGGGCAGACACACTGGCCAGAGGGCTGCAGGCTTCAAAGGCCCGGATGAGCCCCTGTGGCAGGTCAGCCCTGGAAATGCCTCTGATGTGCACAGACACCTGGACAAACACAAAGGATGCGGGAGGGCTCTTTATTCCTGCTACACATTTGCCTGAGCAAAATTTGTCAGAACTACCTTCTCATGGCTCACATATAAAGAGGCTTTTGTGTTGCTGGGGACTGGGGAAGACGGTGTGTGTGGATTAGAAGCCTCTTGGAGCGAGGGCTTTCATCTTTCCACATTGAGCCAGCCACTGCATCTGGCCCTTGCTGTGTCCAGTGGGAGTTGGCACCTCCGTGGTCCTGTGCCCCGTCACTGCTAGTCTGCCTGTCGTGGGAGATTTTCAGCCAAATAGCCATTGACTGGTCTTCCACAGAGTGTGAATGTATAGCTTTTCATGACTGGGCTCAGTGCCTGATCCCGTAGGGACACAACAAATATTTGTTGAGCGAACAAATGAGATAATGAAACCCTGGAACAAAGCTATATTTTTAGGAGCTGAACCATTTGTCTTAGTTTGGATTACTAACCCCTGCCCCCTGACCTCCCAAGAAGCAGACTCTGAAACACGGATGTGAGTGAAAAGAGTTCATTTGGGAAGTGATTCCGGAAACACCAATAAGAGAATAAGGAAGTGGAGGGGGGCGCGAGGGAAAGCAGCCAACAGGAGGTGTCTCATTTAGCAAATTACCTCTGTGGGCAACCAGGCGTAATCCTGCTAGGGAGTACAGGGAGCCAGGGAGGGACACCCGCCTCCGAGGGATCTCACTCAGAGAGGGAAGGAGCCCAAGTGTGTATTATCCATCAGCTCCTATCAGGTATTGATGAAGGAAGGCTCTCAGGGGCATCATTAATTCCAGCCTGCTGTGTACCCTGGAGAAAGTGTCTGGGGGCTGCAGAAAACCTTCTAATGAAGGTGTGCGCTAGCAGTTGGAAGTCAGACTCGCCAGCACACAGATGGTAGAGGGCATTTGCCATGTCTACAATACCCATCCACCCTACCCTGGTTTCCTTTCTCTCCATTTCCTTGGTACAAGTAGCCGTCAGGGGACCCTGAGGGTCACGGGCTCCTGCAGCCCTAAAGATGATAGTAAGTTCCAGAGACTACATCCCACCAGAATAAGTCATCTCCACGGTCTTGTTTCTATTAGTGCTGTGCCTAATATGCATGTGGATTTCAGCAAAGCACAGGCCAATCTTCCTGCACTGCGTTTCGGTTGCCTGTGATTCTCTTGTGCTCATTTTTATATCTCAATATTTGTGTCTTCATACTCATAGGATTGAAGAAGCGATGCTTGTGCTTAAAATTTAAGGGATTGAGGGGTTCAAAAAATAGCAGTGTTATAATCCAGAGGGATTGAACATATTTAATAGTATTATGTCATTTCTCCCCAAACTGACATATTGGACCCATGACAAACCTTAGATATTGTTTAAAAATTTTTTTATGTTTTTTAAACTTATTTCTGAGAGAGAGAGACAGCATGAACAGGGGAGGGTCAGAGAGAGAGGGAGACACAGAATCTGAAACAGGCTCCAGGCTCTGAGCTGGCTGTCAGCACAGAGCCCGACACGGGGCTTGAACCCACGAACTGTGAGATCATGACCTGAGCTGAAGTCGGACCTTTAACCCACTGAACCACCCAGGTGCCCCAGCCTTAGATATTGTTTAAATGAACAATGAGACCGGGGCGCCAGGGTGGCTTAGTCGGTTAAGTGTCCGACTTTCGCTTAGGTCATGATCTCGCGGTTTGCGGGTTCGAGCCCCGCGTCGGGCTCTGTGCTGACTGCCAGCTCAGAGCCTGGAGCCTGTTTCAGTCTGTGACTCCCTCTCTCTCTGACCCTCCCCTGCTCATGCTGTCTCTCTCTCTCTCTCCTAGAAATAAATAAAACATAAAAAATAAATAAATAAATAAATAAATGAACAATGAGACCAATGAGCAGAGAGGTGAAATGATACGTCCAAGGTCACATGGCTGATTATACGCAGGACAAGGTGAAGGCCTCCTAGCCCCTGTCCCTATCCCCTTGCCATGCTCCTGTTCACATTAACCATCCCCAGGGTGTTACTCTTCACAAAATCTCTGAAAAGCGGGTGTCATCATGTAGTCAAATTCTATATACTACAAACTTTACCCCCCAAAAGTAATTTTTTTGATTTTTTAAAATAACTGATCTCATCTTGGTCCTGGGACTTCATTCCCACTCAGTAGCAGGAAATTAAATGCACACACACAAACTAAAGTTTCAATGTAAAATAACCGAGTTGCCTAGGGATTGACTCATAAGACCAATGGTTTTACTTTGTCAACAGCTCAAGATGAGTTACTTACAATTCTCATGTTCATGAAGAAACTCCTTTGCTGGCCTCTAGTACACCAAGGCAACCCCAGGCATTTAAATGTTAGCAGCATTTAATCTAAGTGTCTTCCATCTCCATGGAAATTCCAAGTCTCTCTTCTGGTTATAACATTGGAGATCTCTTTAGAAGACAAATATATTTTTTGAGATAGTATCATGTTAAATGATCATCATTCTGTGACACATCTAAAAAAATAAATTGATCAGTTTGGGCCAAGTAGAGATCTGGCTGTGGAAGAAATAAGGAGCCAGGGGAAGAGCCAAGGTGTTGGGGGAGGCAGGGTAAGAGAGAGCAAAAGGAGGTGTCAGGAGGATGCTCAAAGCATGAGGGCAGGCATGGCCAGGGCTGAGCAGCAACCCAGTGTGAAGGCCCTGGGAGCTTGGGAAGAGGAGCTTCAAATAGGATGGTGTCTAAAGGCACAGAGCAGAACCACCTGCTATGCTGTGATAACTGGTGGTGTGGGGGGTGTGATGCTTGGATGGGCAGAGCCAATATTGAGGCTGGTGCTGACCATCTTCAGAGCCAAGGGGTGGCCTTCTAATCCTGTCTGCACTCGCATGGGAGCCAGAACCCCATCTCCTGACCCCTGTCCAAAGCTTATTGTGCCAGGCACAGACGGCATTGCCCATCAGTGCCCAAGGGCCAAGGGGTAAGTTTCAGGGCCTGTGCAATCCTCTCTGAGCTGTGATTTCCTTTGATTCTGTTGTTCTTGTTCTATCCGAGTGGGACTTCTGTTCCCATTCTGAAGGCCACTGTTAAGTCCTATTCACTCTCAATGGCTCATTTAGTTCAGTGGGGTTTGGGTTTTTAGAAGGTTTCCTCTTTTAAATTCTCTTTTTTTCTTTTCATTTTTTTTTTTTTAAAGGGGTCATAAAGAGCTTTAAGATGCCATGCATGAAAAGCTCTGGATAAATGCAGCTTGTACTGGATTGTAAAATACTGTATTGTTCCAAGCTTAATTCCCTGTGTGAGACTGGAATCGGTAATTTCCTCGTCCTAAGAGCAGCAAGCTGCAGACTGGGTGCGGCGATGGGCGCCCCTGGGGGCCGCGAGGGGGAACCACAGGTCTCCCAGAGAAATTTTCTTTTTGGTCCAGACTTGGTTTTCCTGACTTTTGCATTAAGGTAATTGAACATTTTATGAAAAAAACACAGCTCTGCTCTCTGAAGTGGCACTTTAGGAACTGGATCAGCTGCTATCTAGGGTCACCCCAAGTTTTAAATCACAGAAAGGACCTCCTCCCAACCTTCCTCCTCTGCAAACTCTGTCTGGTCTGTGACTGTGTTTGCATGTGTGAGGAGTCCCCCATCTCTGAGTTATAAAGACTGTTGACCCTGGCCTTGACGTCCAGGTTAAGAAGCTGCCCAGTTTCAGGTGCACAGGGTTTATTTCCCCAACATCTGTTATTCCTACCCCACCTCCCTTGTCGCTGCCTCACTTGGACCTTGCCTGGTGTCCTCTTCCCAGCTTCATCTCTGCCTAGATCGTGCCTCTGTGCTTTCAAGCTACCCTCCTCCATAAAACTCTTCTTCCAACTCTTCTGGTCTCCCTCTTCTCTGATCTCTGTTGTAATCATAATGATTGCACATTTTAACTCCTTTGGGCTCCAGTTTGGTTCCCAGGTTAGACTGCAAGCTGCTTGAAGTTCTTGCCTTTCCCACAGTTTGTATCTGTCATATGTGCTATTGTATGTGTCCAGTGTGAAGCAAGAACTTAATAAATTCCCATTGTTTTTTCTTTTTCATTGGTTGCTTGATTGATAGTGGCCCAAACACCTTCTAATCAGATGCTAAGTGTTTTGCTCAATTGACCCCAGATGTCAGCAGAGGTCTCCCTTGGGCTTACATATCCACACAGACTGACTCACCCCCCACTTCTTCTTAGAAGAAAGATTTAGCCTCTGCTCCAGTTTCCAGAAAAAAAATCCATTCCTGCCAAATGTTCTGTGAGTCTTGGTAGATTTTCACTAACCATTTGGGGATGGTAGGAGGGCTATCTTAGCGGACTGCTGCATCTCACCATCTCCTTGTGCCCATTATACAGAATGACCACAGAGTCCTTGTGCATGAGCCTGTGTGCCAACAGCTGCTATAGACCTAAAATGTCTACTGGCAACTCCACTACTGAAGATGTCTAGAAGGACAAGAAACAACTAAAATTTACTGGGAAGATGAAAAGAGACATCATGGATAATTTCTAAGCTTATTTCTTAATTTTTTGAGAGAGAGAGAGAGAGTGAGCAAAGGAGGGGCAGAGAGAGAGGGAGACAAAGAATCCCAAGCAAGCTCCACACTGTCAGCGAAGAGCCTAATGCAGGGCTTAAACTCATGAACATGGGATTATGACCTAAGCTGAAATCAAGAGTCAGACACTTAAGCAACTGAGGCACCCATCCTTTGGGGTCACACCTTCCATCTTAAGTGATATATTAAAGTGTTTCTTCTAAACAAATCCCATGCTTTCTCCAAGAATAATCCCAGGGAATACTCTTTACCCTCCTTATTCTCACAGTTATCTGTACTCAGAAGGGTTGAGTTTGCCATCTCTGGATCCAATTATTGAAAAGGGTCCCTCAGAGAAAGCAGCCACTAGCTCAGGTTCAAAGAGGATCCAGATCTCTCCTGCCCCCAGCTTTAGCACTGTGGGCTACCAGGAGTGAGGTCTGGGCCCTCTGGAGGTCTGGGCATGAAAAAGTAAACAGATGTCTGAGACACAGAGCTCCCGCCAGCCTCCCCATCAGGAGCTGTTCATGTGGGTGTCACTGGCCAGGGGGTGCTGTTCTGTCCCAGCTTCCAGCCACTTGATTCAATTCCTTTCCAAGCTTTCTTCCTGCCTCATGGAAATAGCAGCTTTACAGTCATGTAATTTTGGCACAGCAGATATTTCATGTTAAGAAAAAATAGAATTGGTGCTGGGTCATTGCTATTGAAACTACCACACCAGTTTACACTTGCTCTGAAAGAGCCTCCTCTCAACTCCCGCTCCCAGGCTCCCCTCTCTTGTGTAGCCTTTTGTGCGGCTCCTTTGGTTTTTCTGCTCTTCAGATGTGCACACAGTTTAAATAACATTCCTTCCTGAATTTGTCCCTTCATTTCCCCAGCTTCTGTGCTTGGGGGCTCTCCAGCTCCCATCCTTTTTCTTTCTTGCTAATGTTCTCTTCTCCATCCTTTGTTGACACGCCAATTTATTCAGCACTAGCCTCCCCCTTCCTCTGCTCAGTGTTTTCCATTCCTCACACTCCTCTTGACAAACACTCCCCAAATAGTGTGTGTGTGTGTGTGTGTGTGTGTGTGTGTGTGTGTGTGTTTAGGATTGAGGAGAATAAAATCTATTTTGTCCCCATAACCCTGAAGAGGTGGGGTGTGGGGGAGTATCTCTTCCTCCCCTACAAATTCTACTAAATCTATGGTGCGGCCAGTCTGGACACGGGTTCAAGTTTACACAGAAGTTAAGGGCTGTGTGAGTTGGATGGTGCCAGAGACGCCACGGCAGCAGCCACTCTCGGTTGCCTGCCCAACAGCCATTTCTCCCTTTCTCCTTAATAACTGCACCTGGACTCTTTTGGCATGTGCCTCCTTCTCAGCCACGTGCTCCAGAGGAGGTAGGCTCTAGCCTCATTTCCCAGCTGTGAATCATGATTGGTCTAACTGATCTTGAAAGTTCCATTCTGCTTGTCTGTGATTGGTGTAGGCATGGGCATGCCATCTGTCCGATGAGAATGAAGAAGCAAGCTGGGGGAAGGAGGCTTCTGGGAAAGATCATCTTCTATCTTTAAAAGATAATGCAGAGAAATGAAAGCCCTTCTGAATGCCGATATGTTGTCTAGAAGCTGTGATGTTGAGGTCTGCTACAGCAATCTTGAAAACATGAGTGGACAAGCCCCAGGGAAAAGTCATTCTGCTGAGAATAGCAGAAAAGAAACATGAGAAACAGTTGAGTCCTTGACACCTTGTGCTGCTAAAGCTGTCTTACTATGGATTTCTTGTTTTATAGATAATAAATCCCCTCCCTTTTAAGCCATTTGTCTTTATTATTTGCTGTTCTTGGCAACTTAAAGTATTTTTTAAGAACATAGCTTTTGTGACCCCAAATGGTTCCTCTCTATATATGCTGTCTCTTCCCTGCTTTGCTTGTGTGTGGCACACAGATCATAATCATAACAATTGCAAGTAATTTCATACCATTTTTCATGTGCCAGGTACTGTTCTAAATGCTTAAAATAAAGTAATTCATTAAACCCTTATAAGAGCCTATAAGATAAGCACTCTTATTATTTCCATTATATAGATAAAGAAACCGAAGCATAGAAAGATTGAGAAAATTGCCAAAGATCCTGCAGCTGGTAAGAGACAGTGGTGAGTTTGAATCTAGACTAGAGTCTGATACCAGAGCCATCCTCTTAACAATAACTCCTTTGGCTTCCAGAGTTGAGTGGACTGGCAGTTATGGCCCCCAGTTCTCCTGGGAGAGGGCAGCTCTAAGTGTCTCTTCTCCAAGGTGAGGAAGCCCATGACAGTTTTGTTAGACCCATAATTGGTAGCTACCTCATCTCTCTGCAGCTGAAGGTGGTGGGGGCCAGTGCCCATAAGATGTCTGGGAAATGTGGTCCAGAGGCCACCATACCATTATTATGCATACTTCAATGCTGTCACCAGGATGAATTGAACTGGACATTGATCAGCCTAAAGACTAGCCCAGAACCAGAGCTGGACAGCCTTCTCACTTTCTCCTGGGCCTCGAGCTCAGATTCTTTCAAGTCCCCTCTATAAGCTAGGGACCCCTAGCTCTTTACCCGGCTCAGTGGCCCCACTCTACAGGACATGGAAATTTGATATAGAAGGTTCTGTAAAACCCTCCTGGTCCCATCTCCCCCCCACTTCCTTATCACTCAGGATCCAGTTAGAAGGCAGGAGCTGCACTAACTATTTTAGAGGAGATACTTTAATATAAATAACTGTTATCTAGGCTTGAAGAATTGAAAAGGCAAAAAGAGAACACGAAGGTATCACAGAATGACAACAGCAAGAAGCAGCTACCGTCCTGACTGTGGATCAAAGGAACAGGTTGGAATTACTAAAACTCAGAAACTTAGAGGAGGGAGGGGTGCTTG